CGCAGCTTCAGAATGAAACAAGCCGGCAGGGGGCGGTAATGCACCTTCGGTTGGCTTGCAAACCGCCAATGAACACCAGAAGAAGAAGAAGAAGCTATGGTCTGGGTAATACTTCTGCTGTCCTTATCCACAGGTATGTCGGTAAAAGTGACTTTGTTAATTTAAACACGGTTCTAACTCACTCTAAAGTAAAACGAAAGTGTTGCGAACATACTGTGATGATTTCGAGTCCTATCTTAACTTTGCATCCACACAATAATAATAATAATAAAAAACTGCATAACATAGTGTGGATGCTTACGCATCCACACAAATACTGTAAAACATTGTTAATATTAATCTTAAAACTAAATCAAATGAATGCACCAAGTGTAACTGATTTTAATGAAAATATAAAAATGTCCCTAATCGACCCTGTGCTTCTGGTTTTTCTTCCTCCCGCTGACCTGCTGCCCCCTCCTCCACCTTCTCTCTCTGTATTTGCTCGCTGTCTTTGTTATGAGGGTCCCGCATACAGGATGTATATTTTATGTGCAGCTCTGGAGGCTTTTACCATTAATTATAGAGAAACACTAAGCTCTCCATTTGCTGGACAGATGTTATTTTTTACTTAAGGAGAGAAAGGGGACTGCTCCATAATTCAGAAGTAATCCCACTCACCAGAGAACAAATAAATAAATGAATAAATAAATAAATCAGAAGCAGAAACCACAAACATTGGGTGTACTGCTCAGACAGCAGCAGCCAACACAGCCGCATTTCCTCTGTGTTCAGCCTCTAAGTGCCTCCTTGTAATAAATATGAAACAGCTGCTCTGTGGTTTCATTTTTTATTCAATCTGCATCTGTATTTTACACAATCACCAGCACACGTAGTGCAGCCTTTTATTTGAACAAGTGTTTTGTAAAGGTGAGGTATTTGGCATGAATGTGGAGCTCTGGTGCAGAGAGAACACATTCAGCCTTTTACCTCATCACTTGTTGTGCAACCAGGCAGAGCTGAAATGATAGAAAAAGAATTAACAACAATTTGGACGACTGATTAATGTTTTTAAATTTTACTCACCAAACATTCTCTGGTTCCAGCTTGGGAACAATATACACACTTTACAAAAACCGAACTGCATTTTAAATTCTAAAGTTGTTTCTGAAAGTATTGCATATGTCAGGCTTAGTTCGGAGGAAACACCTCCAGGCTTCGACTTTCACTCTGGAACAAGCAGATGCACAACATATGTGTGATACTGTCAGTGTGGAAATACTGTAAGATACTAATTTAAAAAATGTAAGGGAAGACTTAGGGAGAAAACCAAGACTTTAGGAGTTGAGAAAATATACATTTGTCAGATTAGCTGGGATGAGATGCTGGTGTTCTGCAGCCAGATGTTAATATCTGACATGTGGTACATTTTACACAAGGTTAACTTCTTAAAATCTTGATTTTTATTTTAAATTCTACCAATGCTATACACCTCAGATGTCTTCCACATTATTTTATACTAATTTCCCCAATGTGATCCCCTCACAGGTCCCACAGTTTTAGGTCTTTGATGGTATCACCTTGTATATTCCGCATAGGCCTGTTCCAGCTCTCAGTACATTAACATTCTGCTTGTTCTGAGTGAAATATTTATATCCAAGAAGAGTGACATTTGAACATCTATAGCTCCATCACACGTGGGCAGACTCCATCTGCTGGTGACGACCATGTGTTATGACAGAAAGTGCCAAAACAGCTGCAAATTAACATTATGGTGAGCCTGAATTTTTAGTTTTTTAAATGGCTGCACAATTTGATTAAATGGAAATATTGCATAAATATTTTTAAACAAGTTTCCCCCAAATTCAGAATGACACACTTGGTATCTTTTGCCAAATTTCTCCACTAGGATTTGAAATGATACTTAGAGGGTTTGAAGAATATCTGGCTGCGCAGTACGAGTTGCTAATGACTGACCCACTGAGATTTAGGTAGAACTGAATAAAATGTTGCACGAAACATTTGCACAGAATGGAATCATGCAGCCATAAAAACATGGTGGCTGAATATTTCTCACAATATAATCACTGCTCACTGTTGGGACAGGCAGACCCTTGAATATGTGTGGCTGTTATACAGTGTAGTAAACAGAGATGATCTCTGATTTAAAGACCCAAACGTGTAATTTGAGAGGCTCAACAAAGAGGCTAAGTAAACAGGAAACCCCTCAAACTGCACAATTCTTTTCCAGATGTTATAAAGTATCCAGCAGCATGTCGGTGATATTTTCATGTTCCGTCTCAGTCTGCAGTGCTGGCATCAGTCTGAGTACGACGAGGTTTGATTTCAAGCCTTGGGATTTCCAGGGTCCTGGGACCACTCACTTACCGTCCCTCCGGTGCGCTGCAATCGCACCCCTGGGCCAGCGGATGACCCTTATCCACACCTCCTGCACACACGCACACACAAACACACGGTCATGCAGTTAAGCGCTCAGTCACATACACACTCAGTAAAAACACATCAGTCTCCCATCGTCTTAGAGAGGAAGCCCATTAAAAGTGCATGAGTGTCTCTGTCAAGGATTCAAGAGACCCTCTCTGCTGCTCAGCTGATAGTTGTGTGTGTACATATGTGTGCGTTATTTATTCATGCACAGAGTTATTAGGGCATCCTATGGCAGGCATCACTCACTCACTTTGTGATGGACACATCGGGTGTTTTGCAGTTTGATCTCCAGGTTTTCATGAGATTTTTAATCTGACATGCAAACACACAATATTTATGTCTCATATTTCAAAAATAAATAAGTAAACAACATACCCAGGACGTCTGGAGATGACTGATGTTCACACCGAATCTTTATGGCACAGTCCAGGTCCCTCAGCCTGCAGGGATAAAAACCTGAAATGTAATATTTAGCATTTACATGAAAACACATCAAGATTTAAACATTGAAGTGATTCACAGAGAAGCAGGGAAACAAGTTAAGATTTAGGAGAAAGCAGAGAAAAGGCCTGCACATAAAATATTGCAAACACCCCTCAACATTTTTAATAAGGCAAGATTTGGTCAGTCATTTACCTTCAGTTGTGTACCCGCACCCAGGTGCATTTGGATGCACACTATGCACCAGATGTGATTTAAAAGTGACATTAAACATCATGCTTCACTAATTAATACAAATTCTAAAACTTAATTAAAATTTGACTTGTATAGCATGAAATCACAACAACAATCAACTCAGGGCACTTTAAAGTCTAGATCATAGAGAAAAGCCCAACAAACCCCCCGGAGTAACACCTGGCGACAATGGAGACCAACCACTCCATTTAATGGAAGAAACCTCCAATGATAAAATAATGACACTATTTCACTAGATTAAATAATTCACCTGTAGGCAAAATGTTTTAAAAATTAACAAACAGACCTGAAATTTGAATAAACTTAACATAATAATTTTAGGAATATTTTTATATTTAAATAGATTTTAACCCATATTATTGGAGTTAATGTTATTAAAACATTATTTTAAAAAGAGAAATTAGGCTGATTTGATCCAGACATGTATAAAAGCTGGTGCACAAACTGAGTCAGGATGAGACAGAACAATAACTCCTGCTTTAAATTATACATGTCTGAGTGCAAGTGAACTCCGTGGCACATCAGCTTCATAAACTTGTGTCCACATTAGCCAAAAATGCAAAGACTAAACTCTATAAAAATTTCAAACCGTGTTCAAACAGCATCTTACTGTATTTAACCCGTGCTTAAAAATTAACTACAATTAAAGGCAATTCAACTAAATCCTATTCATGTCCATGGTCAAGATAACATCTACTTTATTTGTCTCACCTAAACACCGTCTCTCGCCCGCTCTCGCACCTCCACGCTCGGTGTAAACGGTGTGATGCTCAGACCAGGACCGAGCAGGGACAGAGAACTGCGGCAGGCGGCGGATGCTGCAGCGGGGCTGCGATTCCGGCTCCGACCAGCAGGCGACGCTGCTCGCACACAGACCGGGCAGAGCAGAGCAGCAGGTCCAGAGAGAGGTCAACACCGTCCTGAAAACAAAACAAACACACACTTCAGGTTATTTTTATCAAACATTAATTGATGAGAATTGATTATTGGTGATTGACTTCTTGGTCAACTTCTTGTTTGTTGCCTCTCCTTCTTTATGTCCTCTGCTCTTCTTCCCTTGCCTTACACCTCCTCTCCTTGTTCATCTCCTCTCACCCTTCTCCTTTCCTCTCCTTTCATTACATCTCCTCACCTCTTCCCTTGTATCATCCTCTCTTTTCTGTCCCATTTTCATCTTACTTCCCCAGGCTCATTCCTCACCTTTTGTTCTCTACTCTTCGTCACATTTTGTCCTCCCTCTGCTTCTTTCTTTACTTATTTCTCTTCAGTCCTCATCTTTTTACTCTCATTCTTCCACTCCACTCACCTCTAGACATTCCCCCCTCCTCTGCCTTCATTGCATCTTGCTTTCTCTACTTGTCTTTAGTCTTTCTCATTTTCTATCTCCTCTCCTCTCCTCTCCTCTCCTCTCCTCTCCCCTCCTCTCCCCTCCTCTCCCCTCCTCTCCTCTGGCCATGCTCCAAGGACGGATGGAGGGGGAGCATCCGGAGCATGCTCAGTGGTGCTGACAGCTGTCAATTTTGCTGGCGCTAATGCAGACGAGCTAACATGAAATGAGCAGGGACAGGCCTGAAGCTCAGCACGTCACTGACCACCAGCTCCTCCTCCTCAGGGAGAGGTAGCAGTGTGAGGTGCAGGGTGCTGTGGTGGGTTGGGCGAGATAAGGCAATGGATATAAGAGGGGTCAGAGGGGTCATGGAGTGGTTAGCACTGACAGCAGGGCTCTGAAAGCAATCCAGCAGCAGTGCTAATGGAGAGGCAGAAAGCAAGACGGGGGAGAAAACAGCAAAGGAAGGAGAGAGGATAAGGAGCAGTGATAGACGAGGAAGGTTATTAGAGTGCTGGCACCCAACCTAATTTTCATCGTTTTTAGATCACGAAGAGCTAAACAAACTTGTTTACTTTTGACCTAGGAAACAACAACTGACAAATCTGATCACAAAGTCTATTCCCAAGGTCAAGAATGAACTTCTGGGCTCAAGTTTTAATCCAGCACAGATGAGAAGTCCTTATATTGTTCAGATAAAATGGAAATCTGAACAAGAGAGAAACTGAATGTGACCATATCTTTGATTCCAAGAAAACTCCACATGGTGCCGATAATTATTTTATGACTCCTTGCATTTATATTCTGACCCCCTGTGAGCCCCAGACCAGAAGCTGGGAACCACTGCATTAGAGAGAGGCGGTAGGATGGCACAGAGGAAAGAGAGGGTGAAGAGTGAGAACAAACAGCGGAGGGATGAAGATAAAGCGACAGTTGCGTCTGTGACAGGACCCCCGCTTATTATAACAGCTGGTGTCAGTCTTTGTCTTTCCTTATTCTGTATCTCTCTGAATGTCAGATGCATGCTCACACACACAGACACTGTGCAAGTGTGTGTGCGCGCATCCCACTCTGTGCATATCCACAGTGCTTGCTGATTCAGCTCGTTATCTGATGGAGCCGTAGACAGAATGAGTTTAAATCTCAGCATCGCCGCAAGCTCTCACACTGCTTCATCTACTGTTTGCTCTCTCTCTCTCTCTCTCACACACACACACACACACACACAGTACACTACACAAATGGGCTTCACAGGTACATACACACACACAATATGAAGGACAGTTGCACTGCACTAGATTTCCCAGAAATACGAATGAGAAACGATATTTTACAGAAAGCCTTACGTGGCTTTAAAGTCCTTTCTCCAGCTCTGCCTACAGCTCCAACAGTCGTGGCTCAGACCGAGTTCAGAAAGAGGGAGGTAGTTGTGAGCGCTAACACATCTGGCATAACATCCTATGCTCGTTTGGTTTTTAGAACCTGGCTGCAGTGATTTGCTCCCATTCAGATACAAGAGCATTAACAAGGTCCAACACTGATGCGGGTGATAATGTCTGGCAGCTCTTCTCAAAGCTGATGGATGGATGGATGGATGGAGTTCAGGGCTCAGTGCAGGTCAGTCAAGTTCTTCCACACCACACTGAGAAACCATGTCTTCATGGAGCTGCTTTGTGCATGAGAACACTGTCGAGTTCCAACAGGAAAGAGACGAACAAACCGTTGCCACAGTGTTGTTTAGTATCATCAATTCTCCTTCACAATAACTTCTGTAACTTTGGCAAAGATATGTGTTCTTTTAGGAACATAGAATGAAGCTGGTTAAGAGCATATGCTATTGGGGCCTTTAAGCAGCCACACCCACTAAATCAGTGTCTTCAGTATGGAGAGGCAGCAGGACTAGCGTGAAGGAATGTTGCCTGGTGTTGACAGATTGGCGTGGATGTTTGGCGAACACCAAACACAGCTCCAGTCAGCTCCCTGAGCGACATTCACCACAGCCCTTCAAACCGTTTCTTTCAGTCCACAGCCTAAAGGTGCTCCAGTTACAGTGAAAGATGGCTGAGAACTCTCACCACTATCGATCCATTAGGTTTAAATGAAGGAAGCTGGTGCCACCGCAGACCATGAGTAAGAGATCAGGCACGTAACATCCACCTCACAGTGTAATCACTCTAATTGAGGGATTATCCCAAAGTAAAAACTGACAAAAATTTCCACCAGGCCTCTTGGTAATTTGAGCCCAGGACCTGGATTACAGCAGGTTAGTGAGACCTGACTCTGTGGCAGAGCCCTCCTCTGGATTTAAACTCTCATTCATTAATCAACTAATGCCCAGTCAAGGGCAGAGCTTTGAGAGCTGGGTCCTTTTATCACAGATCCCATTAAGAAACCAAAATCAGCAACACGTTGGCCTGTCTTGTTTGGTTGTGTTACATTTGTAGAGATTCATTAACAGATAAAACCAGATACAAATGAAGCTTTTTTTTAAATGAGCTACAGATTCTGTTAGAGCTATTAGTGGATTTTATTTAGATGTAACTGAGAGTGGTGGTGACTTTGCAGCTGTGTTGTGGGCTTATGGTGCACCGACAGTGATTCCCTGTGTCGGCAGTGAGAGCTCTTCACCGTGCTGCTCAGAATTAGCAACACATCCGAATGATTAGACATAAAAGTTGCACATTCTCGGTGAAGAGTGGAAATTGAGGGGACAACTGGAATCCACCGAGGTGCCTGTGAGTACTGTCTGTGAACACACATCTGTAGCAGCTGCCCGCTCTGCGGGGCCACAGGTCCCACGTGAAAGGCACACAAACATTTCAATATTTCAGAGGGTACTCTTGTTCACCAGCCGCCCCACTGACTGAAGAGAGACACAGAGAGAGAGAGAGGGAGAGATGGCAGCGACAGCTTCATAAATAGCCCATGAGGAGCCGCCCGCCCCCCCTCACCACAACCTGTCAAAGGCCCACAATGATTTATTGATTTCTTTATTTGTCACAGATAAAGGGGAACTCACTCCTCATGTCTCTCGTTTCTCTCTCTCTCACTCTTCTTCTTCCCGTCATCCCTGCTCTAAGAAAAAGAGAGGGGACAAATCGTCACTTGACAGGTTGAACAAGAGGGAATTCCCTGTCTGATGTGAAGGACCTGGGACTCTTCACCTGCGATTATCACTCCACTTCCTTCTGGTTCCCAGTACTGAGCCATATGCATCAAATACTATGCAAATATTTCTTCTTTCCTGTCTAAACCGATCCTTCTTTTTAAATTCTTTTCCTTTACAATATTCATTTGTTTTCTTTTCTTTCCTCTCCTTGTTTCCTCTCATTTGTTCGTCTTTTTTCTTTCCCACTTCTTTTCTCCTCTCCAGTTCCTT